TTTCCCACTCCCTTCACCTGTCTATATCCCTCTGCAGACTCACTGTGCCATCCTCACCACTTGCATTCCCTACTTGTTTTTGTGTCACTCACAAACCTGGCTATATTATGTTCACTTTCCTCATCCAAGTCATTTATATATATTGTGAATAGCGTTTTATTAAAGTGAAACTCATTTCCCAATCTGACGGTGCTGATAAGTTGGATCCTTCTCCATTCAAACATGTCAATATGAATGGACCAGTCATAAACCCAGGATGCAGGATTGCTGAAAGAATCCCAAGGTGTACTGGTGAGTCCAGACGATTTTTGGCTCCCAGATGAGTTTATGTTGGGCTTTAGAGTTAAGATTGCAAGAAGGGAGGTTGGAAGTTCAACTACCTACACTACTCACAATCAGCAGCACTTAACATATGGGATGAATGGTCACTTTTGCCAAGGTAATAGAGGTACTGCACCTGGGGTGGGGGTGTCAAACAATGACAGGAGCCGCAGGAATAGGAAGGAGACTGAGCAGACAAAGAGACAACTTTGAACAATTTAAACAGCTGATGTTGAATGCCAGTCATCGCCCACAAAAGAAGACACAAGCCTCGTGTAAAATGAATGAGTTATCATTTATTCTCCAATACAAATCCTAGTTTGGTTTATATCAACATCACCAAAGATTTGTAAGAGCGCAGAAAGCAGTGCAGAAGTGAGCTCAAATGGACGACATGGTCTGTCACAGGCCCCAGTTTCTATATTCTGCTCATGCCTGGAACCAATGTTATACAAATGATGTGCTAGTCAAGTAGCTCTATTCAACCTCCTCACCTCTCAATGCTCTGACAACATGGAGACTGAGCTTCACAGCCTCCAGAGAAAATGATCAGCAAGCATCTATTAATGGATACAGAAGTACTCAGTGAGTGAAGCACAAACTGGACCCTTTCGGAGGACGAGAAGCTGGACCGAAACCCAGTATCCTTCCTCTGAAGAACTACATTCTGGGTTTAACTTTGATTCCTTTTTGTGGTTGACCGGAAACTTCCAGAAAATAAAGAAAGAAAGAGTGCTATTTTCATAAAGTGAGTCAATTTTGAGGGTTATATTTTCCGCAAGGTCAGGAGTGGTGGGGCATTATCCAAATGAGTTTGCATCAATATCCAGCACTCCAATGGTGGCTCATGCCCATATTGGGACTGGCATAATCTACCCTGGCATGTCTTAATGCTGGGAAAGGCCAGGATAGCTGGATCACAACAGGACTTTCAATGTGGATAAGTGCCAAAAGCACACATTCTCTGGTGACTGACCTTGAGTGCCAACTGAGTATGTGTCAATGTGGGTACCGAGGCCTGTGTTGAACATTAAATCCAAATGGACTAGTCGGGCTAAATGACTTATTTCTGATCTGGAAATTCTATTGAAAGAAAAGTCCCACTGGTTGACACATTTGTAAGTCTGTGAATAAGTCATTCTTGTATGAAGCCTGCGTGCATTCTCCTCCTTCAATCTGTCCGACCTTGGATTCAAACAACAAGAATAACCAAAGGGATTGCATCCACAGCATCCCTTCCTGAAACCAAGTCACGGCAGAAGCTTCAACTAAATTCCTGTACAGCCAAAGCTTTGGAGTTGCAAATGCAAAATGCAGGAAATCTGAAATAAAAAGCTGAAACATGCTGGAAATATTCAGCAGAGATAGTAGGAACTGCAGATGCTGGAGAATCTGAAATAACAAGGTGTAGAGCTGGATGAACACAGCAGGCCAAGCAGCATCAGAGGAGCAGGAAAGCTGATGTTTCAGGCCTAGACCCTTCTTCAGAAAAACTTGAAATGTTAACCCTGTTCTTTTCTGCTTGTCCACAGACACTGCCTGACTTCTGGAGTTGGAAAGTGATTATGGATAACGTAACCAGGGAGTTGGGATTCAATTTCATGGAGATACAGGCACTCACGTGACAGATTCAGGAAGACTGTGGTCTCGGGTGGTTTATTTTCCAACCCCCTCCCCCGAGAAAACTGACAGATTGCACGAGCATTAATCAGTGTCATAGAGTCATACAGCATGGCAACAGACCCTTCGGTCCAACCAGTCCATGCCGACCATAATCCCAAACTAAACTAGTCCCACCTGCCTGCTCCTGGCCCCTATCCCTTCAAACCTTTTCTATTCGTGTACTTACGCAAACACCTTTAAACATTGTAACTGTACCCGCGTACACCACTTCTTCAGGAAGTTCATTCCACACACAAACCAGCCTCTGTATAAAAAATCTGCCCCTCACGTCTTTTTTAAATCTCTATCCTCTCACCTTAAAAATGTGCCCCTAGTCTTGAAATCCCTCATCCTAGGGAAAAGACAACTACCATTAACTCCATCTATACCTTCATTATTTTATAAACTTCTATCAAGTCGTCTTTCACCCTCCTATGCTCCAGTGAAAAAAGTCCCAGCCCACCCAGCTTTTCTTTATAACTCAGACCCTCCATTTCCAGCAACATCCTGGTAAATCTCTTCTGAACCCCCTCCAGTTTAATAATATCCTTCCTACAACAGGGTAACCAGAACTGGACATAGTATTCCAGAAGAGGCCTCACCAATGCCTTGTACAACCTCAACATGACTTTCCAACAACTATTGTCAAAGGACTGAGCAATGAAGGCAAGTGTGCCAAACACCTTTTTAACCACCCTGTCTATATATGATGCCCGCTTCAAAGAATTATGTACCTGTATCTCTATGTCTCTCTGTGCTACAATACTACCCAAGGCCCTACCATTATCTGTATAAGCCCTACCCTTGTTTATTGTTCCAAAATGTAATACCTTGCATTTATCCAGATTAAACTCCATCTGCCACTTCTCAGCCAATTGACCCATTTAATCAAGATCCCTTTGTAATCTTAGAAAACCTTCTTCACTGTCAATTTTGGTGTCAT